CCAAGTGAAGTGGCCCTCAAAATTTTTTGCCCTAGATTTTTCATCCCCCCCCATTTTCCTTCAATCTCTTTCAAGATTTCAACCCATCATTCCCAAACTGCTTGTTGGTGCCCAAAAGTCCCTAATTTAGCGGTTTCGATGGAGCTGAACCTGACGGCGGGGGCGGTGTCTCGGATTATAAGCAGAGAAGTGTCGACGGAGAGGGATTTGAAACCTTTGCTTCAAGTGATAGAACTGAAAGAGGTTCAAACGACGTCGAAGAATCCGCAGCAGCAGCAAGTACCGAAAAAGAGCGAGAGGTACAGGCTATTGCTGTCGGATGGGTCGTTGACCCAGCAATGAATGCTCGCTACCAGTAAGAACGAACTTGTGAAATCCTCAAAGTTGCAGATTGGATCCGTTATTCAATTGACTCAGTACATTTGCAACGTAATCCAAGATCGCATGTATACCTCTCTCTCTCTCTTCTCTCTTTATATGTTTTTATGTGAAAGAAGAAGAATTATTTTTCTTGATTACTATTTTTTTTCTTTTTTGATCCATTTCGGATGTAAAGAAGTTATATTTCTTTGGTTTTCAACTCGTGGAGACGTGATTAGTTGTCTGTTTGTTGTGTTTTTAGGCGGATGCGTATATTTCTTCTTATTTTCCTTGTTAATTGATGGTGCTGGATTTGGGTGTAATTTGATTGATTTCTTGTAATGTATTTCTAGAATTGTGTTTGTTGTAAATTGTGATTAAAAACTTGATTTATTTGATATTTCAGCAATTCAATTCTACAGTTACAGTTACTCGAGTCTGCAATTTTTGTTCTTGCAGTGTTTAGTGTTGATTTTTAGTTGGGATGACAATTACTTGTTGGATCTTAACATGTGTCATTGGCTCAAATGCTTGGATATTGGATATTGTATAGTACTGCACATGTATATGTCTAACCCTTGATTTGGCTCGTATCTTCTTGAGTTTGATTTTAATTTTCCATGTAATGAATTTATCAGCCCTACACTCTGATGAGGGGTTCCAGATTAGCTTTTCAATCAAGATGTGTGATTTATGTGGCATATGTGCGTAGCTTATTGTGCTAATTGTCTTCATGACCATATTTTCAATTCCATTCATGCAGGATTGTTATTATTATCGAGTTGGAGGTGATAGTTGATAAATATGATATTATTGGGAAGCCAGTAGCAGCACCAGGATCTTCCAGGCTCACACAAGCCCCTACTGATCAACCCGGGGCAGTGATGGCACACACCAACTCTTTAGGAGGAAGTTCACTTGGTGGCAGCATGGCTAATAAGCTGAACTCAGCTGGGGCTACTCTGCAACAGCCTACAATGAACCAATGGCAAGGCGGTACTCATTTGAATGAATCTGAACAGATAAGAAGTCCTGCTGCTAATGCGCCATCCTTTTATCCTAAAGCAGATCCTTCTCCTGGTTTTCCTGGATCATTTGGTGTCCGGAGTGCTGGTCTCAATAATCCTAGGCCAGCAGCTTTACGTCCTGTAAGCACCTCTAACTTCCAATCCATACCCACATATCAGCAGCCATCTCCAATGTACGGTAACAGAGGTCCAGTAGCCAAGAATGAAGCACCACCCAGGATAATCCCAATTTCTGCTCTGAATCCATATCAGGGCAGGTGGACAATAAAGGCCAGAGTAACAGCCAAGGGAGAACTTAGGCGCTATAATAATGCTCGTGGTGAAGGTAAAGTTTTCTCCTTTGATCTTCTTGATTCTGATGGTGGGGAAATACGAGTGACTTGCTTTAATGCCGTGGTTGACCAGTTCTATAACCAGATTGAAGCTGGTAAGATTTATTTGATATCTAGGGGAAGTCTAAAACCTGCTCAGAAGGCTTTTAATCACCTTAATAATGAGCATGAAATATTTCTTGATAGCACATCAACAGTACAGCTATGTTATGAGGATGACAACAGAATTCCACAGCAGCAATTTAATTTCCGTACCATAAGTGAAATTGAAGGTATGGAGAACAATACTATGGTGGATATAGTTGGTGTGGTATCATTTATCAGTCCTGCTGCTTCAATATTGAGGAAAAATGGTATAGAAACTCAGAAGAGAACCCTTCATTTGAGGGACAAGTCTGGTCGAAGTGTTGAATTAACTCTGTGGGGATCTTTTTGCAATGCTGAAGGACAGAAGCTCCAAACTTTGTGTGATTCTGGAGAGTTTCCAGTTCTGGCTGTGAAAGCTGGTAGGGTGAGTGAATTTAATGGGAAGGCCGTGGGCTCTATCTCTACAACCCAGTTATTTATAGATCCTGATTTTCCCGAGGCTCACAGGTTAAAGGAGTGGTTTGTTAGTACAGGAGGAACACTCCTTCTGTATCTATTTCCAGGGAAACATCAAGTGTGAGTAGAGCAGATAATAGAAAAACTTTATCACAAATCAAAGATGAGAAGCTAGGAACTTCTGAGAAGCCAGATTGGGTTACAGTAGTAGCAAGGATTGCATATATCAAGTTGGACAATTTCTGCTATACAGCTTGTCCTATCATGAATGGGGATCGTCAATGCAACAAAAAGGTTACAAATAATGGAGATGGGAAGTGGTGGTGTGATAAATGTGATAGGGCTGTGGACGAATGTGATTATAGGTATATAATTCAGTTCCAGATACAGGATCATACAGGCATAACATGGGTGACTGCTTTTCAGGAATCTGGTAAGGAACTAATGGGGGTGTCTGCAAAAGATTTGTACCATTTGAGGTATGAAAACCAAGATGATGAAAAGTTCATGGAAATCACGCGTCAAGTTATGTTTAATAAATATATATTCAAGTTGAAAGTGAAGGAAGAAATTTTTAGTGATGAACAGCGTGTGAAATCAACAGTGGTGAAAGTAGAGAAAGTAAAATTTCCATCAAATTCAAAGTGCCTTTTGGATTTGATCGAGAAGATTAAAACAAATGATTTTGGTCCTTCTGCATCAAAGGCAGAGTTCAACACTCCTAATCCTGGTTTGAATTATGCTGGCGTTGGGATTGATGGAAGCAGAGGTATTGCACCACCAACTGCTAGTAGAGAATATGGGTTGCCGGTAAACCAAGGGGGTCAATATGGAAACCATTACAGTGGTTCTAGGCTTAGAGAAACTGCTTCAAGCATGAATATATTCCGTAATAGTTGCGGTGTTACTGGTCATAGTTCTACAAATTGTCCTACCATAATGAATGGTCCAGTACAGTCTGTTGGTAGGGACTATTCTGATAGAATGTACTCCGAGACAAGTGTTGCCCGTGGATCTGGCGAGTGCTTTAAGTGCCATCAAACTGGACATTGGGCCAGAGACTGCCTAAACTCAGGTCCTTTACCTTTGAGGCACTGATTTTTCTTCTGGGAGATATGGAGGTGTTTTGAGGCAACAGGTAGGGTGCTGGTTCTGTTGTCTATTGAAAATGTATTGAACCTCAAATCAGTCCATATTTTTTTGGCAAGTCATTGTACCCATTCCACGAGTTTGTTTTTGACAACCTTAAAGTGATTTGTTTTCACTTTGGGTGTTGGACTTTCATTTTGCTCCCATTTCTCCTTTTTGTTTTGGTTGTAATGTAGTTTGGTTACGAGTAAATGGCAGATGAAATTTCCTATGCATGGAATTTTTATATGTATACCCATATTTGAGATGCAAGAGTCCGATGCTCTATCGGCAAAGCGCTCTGCTTTTGGCATGCATGAAACTTTTGATGCTGTGCACATATGGATGCAAAAAGGCTGGTGAACTTGGCAAATGGAAAAAGGGTAGCTTTTCAGGCATTGTGGTTCTGGTGTATTTATTTTCAACTCAATCTACATCTTTGCAAATACAGGGTTTTATATTTTCTACATGTAAAAGAATGGGATTTTCGTATAATCTTTGGTTGTACCGTGAACCTTTGTTTTATAACTACAGATATGGCTTGTTCCTTATCATGAAATGTCCAAGTTGCATTGCATCGCTGACAAACTGATACAAAAATAATATAGGGTAAACTACATCATTCATCACTCAACTTTATTCTCTTTTTTATTTCACTCATTGTATTTTCGATTTTTTCAATTTACTCATTGAACTTGTAGAATGTATTTTTAGTCACTCAATGATGAGATTGATTATTTTATTATTTTGTCATGTCATATTTTTATTAATATTTTAATACCAAATATGATTAAAATAAAAAATAAATTTTAAATATAAATTTACAAATTATATCTTAAACCTTAAATCCAAATTACAATCCACTCACCCTCACCGTTAACAGGTTCAGCCACCATCAACAGATAATGGCTCGCTCTTCGGTCGATAACAATTAACAAATGTTGAATGACAACTTTAATGGAAGAAGAAGGTGATGCTGTTGAGAAAAGAACTTGAGAGAAGGTGTTGTCGTGAGAGTGTTGATTTTAGTTTGGGGTATAATTTGGGAATTTAGAGTTTGAGTATAAAATTTAATATGTTTAAATTTATTTTTTATTATAATCATATATAATATTAAAATATTAACAAAAATATGATATGTCATATGAAAAAATAATAAAATAATCTATATCATCGTTGAGTGACTAAAAAAATATTAATATTAAAGTTCAGTGAGTAAATTGAAGAAATTTAATGTATAATGAGTGAAATAGGGGAGAGAAAAGTTCAGTGAATAGTGTAGTTTACCCATAAATATATTATTTATTATAAATAAAATAAAATATTTTTAATTATCTTTTGTAGGAAAACTTTTATATTTAAAATAAATTAAAACAAATGAGTTTTAATTGTAACTAATGGCAGATATTTGCCAATTTAATATTATTTTTGTTATAGTTGTTGTAGCATATAATTTGATAGAGGTTGTAAATTTTTGGATTAATTGAATTGTTAATAGAATGTTAAATTTCGCTACCGCATTCGATATTGGCTGCGGTAGACTTGACTGGTAATCGAACGAAGGCAACGTGGCAAAATAGCATGTGACGGTCATTTGCTTGAAAGTCACAGCCCAGAGATAATAACAGAGCCGCTTTCTCGAATCGTGTAATTAGTGTTTGTGTCAGCCACACGTTGTCTCTCTTTTTGTTTGTTTGCAGCAATTTCGCCTTTCTCCTCCGCTTCCAAGTTTCAGGCTCTGCTCAACACATCGAGGAAATCCTTCATCTGGTAATTTCTACTGCTATTGTTGTTGTTGTAATTTTGAAAAAAATTAAATTGCGATTGTTGTCATTATGAATAAATAAATTGCGAGTATTGTTTTCATCCGAATCACTAATATTGATAATTGCTTATTCTTCTTCTTCTTGGAATTGCTATTGCTTGAACCATTCAGTTCCAATTATGATAGTAGTATATGTTTACTCGCTGCTCTTTCTATTATTTATCCTATTTTTAATGAATTTAAAATTAAACGTTTACAGCTCGAATTAAAGGTTGTAATGAAGAGGGTTTTCTGCTTTTAGCGTTCAATTGCTTCTAGCTTTATAATTTCTGCAATTAGTTAAAAAATTCTGTTTATCAAATTTGATTCTTCAAAGGAGTGCAATCAATATTCTTGGCTTAGGAAGGAACCTTCAGCAACCATCTATTTTGTATCTGCTTTTCATTGTATTCTCAAAATTGAAGGTCGTTGCCCTCCCTTTATGTCAATCCAACCATTGGTTTCTGAAATGTAGAAGGTTTTGCTGCAGGTAGATTGTTTTGGTTACTAGAAACAATGGACTTCAGGTTGAAGGGAATAAATGAGGACATGTCTGAGTGCTCATTTAATGAGTCGAACATTCAGAGATGTCCATTCCTTAATAACATTAACAAACCCACCAACTTTTCATTTTCCCCGCTGAATTTCCCCGCGCCTGTAAGTTCTTCTACTCCTTTTAATATCATCTCTTTTTCGTATGATTCCTGCATTGGCTCTGTGTGTGTGTGTATATTCTGAGCTGTTAAGTAGTCCTTGCCGTTGAGTTGATTTCGTCTATATCTTTCCGCAGGTACAGGGAGCAAAAGGTCCTATATTTGAAGATGGTCCAAATTTTGATATGGCATTTAAGGTTTTTCATGGGAAGGATGGCGTTGTGCCTCTCTCAGGGAGGTCTGATGTTCACTGTGATAGAGTGAAACAGGAGCCTACCACCCAATTTAACCCATTAGCGGCCAGAACTGCAACAATCAGTCTGTCAGCTTTTAGTTCAGGAGGGCCATTCGGCTTTGGTCCCTTCTGGGATAAATGGAAGAACCAAAAAAAGAAACCTGACTCATCTAACAAGCAAGAACCCTGTCAGGTAATCACACATTTTTTCTATAGAAAATGCGATGTTCTACCATAGAGGAGTCATTCAAAGAATTTGGCAACAGAAAAAAAAATGAAGAGATGAATGAAAGTATAATTTGCACAAGACTGCATTTACTAATAAGAACCGAACCACCCTAAATATAACATGTTGTGAGGTCTCAAAATCAACTTTGGAGCAAACAATCCTTAGCAAACTGTGAAAGATTTAGTCTGAATATATTTCAGTATACTATCTTAGGCTCCATCTATATTAATTCTGAAATACGTTGATGTCTTGTGGAGAAAATCAATTGTTTTATAAGCACCGGCATATCAAATGTAATTTGCCAGATACCTATTGAATGATGCATTAGATACAAGATAATCATTGCAAACTACACTGATTCTTAGATGTATTATGATCTTTCAGAAAGGAAATTCATCAAACCATGAAGCATTTGGAAACGAGTGGTTACAAACTGGGAATTGCCCAATTTCAAAATCTTACAGAGTATTAAGTCATGTCCTACCACTTGTGGCTACATCTTTTCAGCCCCCACCTGGAATTAAGCTTAGATGTCCCCCTGCTGTAGTTGCTGCAAGGGCTGCCCTAGCGCGCACTGCCCTTGTTAAAAACTTACGCCCTCAGCCACTGCCTGCAAAGATGTTTGTCATTGCTCTCCTGGGCATGGCGGCAAACGTGCCTTTGGGTGCTTGGAAGGAGCACACTAAGAAGTTCTCTTTATCATGGTTTGTAGCTGTGCACGCAGCTGTGCCCTTCATAGCCATGCTTCGGAAATCTGTCTTAATGCCTAAAACAGCTATGGCCTTGACCATCGGAGCTTCTATCCTGGGGCTGAAAGCAGCGACTGAAAGGCTGAGAAGGTGGCTGCTGAAACAGCCATTGCTGCTTCCGTGGCGTAAATGATCTAGTATGATGTGGAGGTGAAGGTGGGACGGAGCTTCTATCCTGGGGCAGGTTATTGGCTCAAGAGCTGAAAGACAGCGACTGAAAGCCGTGGCTGAAAGGGAGAAGGTGGCTGCTGAAACAGCCATTGCTGCTTCCGTGGCCGAGTATAATGATCTAAGTCAGGTGGATCCTTTCACTGTAAGCCACTGTGGTAGAGAAGGAACTATATGGGGACCCAATCCGGTGAAGGCTGGTCGACCATCCGCTTCATCAAACAATGTCTGCTATTGACATCGGTAGATGCAATTAGTGCATTAAAATAATCAAATAAAAGAAAATACCCTATTGCTGGAGACAGTTCTGTAAAATAAGAACAGTATCCATTATTCATCTTTATTAAATACTTTCCAGTTTCCCAGTGGTAAAAGAAGACCTGATGATTTTAAGCTTGTGTGTGTGTGTATATATATATATAAATATTATGTTACTGCCATTGACCAGGAAGTAATTTATGCACATGGGGATCAAATTGAAAAGTTCTCCGCGGTTGACAAATACATATATAATATTAATATAGGATAGTGATAATCATCTCCGGAAATTAAGGTGAAAATGCATTGTTGAAAATAGCATGTTGAGCGAGATTTTCTCTTAAATAAAATACACAGTATATATATATATTAAGTAGGAACCGACCGAACAGGTACATGTCAGCTGTTGCTTTCATTTCATATTCACACAATTAACATAGAAACAATTGAATGATCTTTCCCTGTAAAAGTTTGCATCTACTAATCAAAATATCATGAATTTTAACTTTATTGACGGTTATATTTAGATTGTGACAATTCTAGGAAGTTTATATATTTTTTAGTTTAAATGAAAAATCATAGTCGATATTCTTTTCGAAGAATGACGATTTCATTTTCTAACTATATATGGAGATTTATATATTGACCGCTAACGTTAGTGTTAGACTCAAGGTTATGATTATTATTTGTAAGTTGTAAACTGAATTAACCTAATCATTTTACGATATACCTTTTTGATGATAGAATCGACGGCAATCAAATCGAAGGGTTGCGACCCTTGGAAGAACAACATATTTCTAAAGTCTTTAAAAACTTTAGAAATTTTATGGGGAAAGGATTTCTTTCGGAGGTTTTGATCGGTGATGTAGATTCGGAGGAAGTATAATAAACTATAGAAAATTATATATATTTGTCTGTAAATACTTGAATGGATCATGACCATGATGATCACGGGGTTAAAAAATTATCAACATGACTGGATAGAAGCAAACATTCCTCAGATCAAACGAAATGCAGACATGAAGAACATGCATGCAACTTGCAGAAATTGAGTATAAGAAGTAAAAGTTTGGAGTAATATTGCCATAGTCAACACTCATTACCCCGCATGGAAACCTCTATAGGCTGGCAATTGGAAAAGGGAAAAAGGCAAAGAAAAATGGGAAAGCAGGTGATGAGATGGGCAATTATTGAGCCGGCAAGGCGGAGGCACATGCATGTGGTGGCTTGCCCTTTCTATATAATATGCTTTAAATTGATATTTTATACATACATACATATATATATATATATACAGCGACGGCGAATTACGTGATAGTAGGCAGGCATCATGCATGGATATTTATTTTCCTTTCTCTTTGATTTGATTTGTTTACTAGTGAACGTGTTGATCTAACGAGTTCATGACAACCACACCGTCACAAAAGAGTGGTTATCTGGACTTTACTTGCTTTTGTCCATTTCTGGACCACCGATTCCCTAAACCCATGTGAATTCATTCACTAATTTCTTATCCATCTCTCTCTCTCTCTCTCAGTGCAAACACCACATTTTCATGTCACATAATAACACAATACACCATATCCAATAACTTAAAGTATCCTTTCATTTCCATTTCAATATATATATATATATATATATATATATATATATATATTTCCCAGCAATCTCTTTCAATATAATTATAAAAGTTTGATCGTATATGCTATCTACGAAAATGCCATCTTATATTCAAGTTAACATAAATTCATCTTCATTTTTTCCCTTAATTACTACATATTCTTCAAATTCCTCTCCATTTATTCTCAAATTGTGTTTTATTTACTTTTGTTTTTTTATAAGTCCGTTTTGGTTAAATTAAAGTTAAAAAAAAGTAAAAATAATTTTGAGTCAAAGTTTGAATGCTGGTGGTTTTCTTTAGTTGGTGAGAAAATGAGAGAAAATCGAGGATGAGTGAGAAAATGAGAGAAATTCGAGGATGAGTGAGAAAATGAGAGAAATTCGAGGATGAGTGAGAAAATATAAGAAAACCATGACAAATATGGTCCGTTCAGATAGAGTTCAAGACAGATGTAAGTGTTGGTTTTATGTTAGGGATTCTAAATTATATAACTTAAATATGTAACTTAAAAACTAAAGTCAAAATTAAATATAAATTTAATATTTTGATTTGGGTTAGATCAAATATATTAATATTGTGCTCGAATTGAATCGAAATTAAGAAAAATCATATAAAACCTATATTAAGATCAAAGTGACAGAGACACTTTTATCTTTCATGTGCAAATAATGATAAATTAAGATGAGAAAGACACTTAGGAAACAAGTTTAATTAAATCTACCAAATACCATTAGCTTTCAATCATACAGATTGCGACCGTTTTAAGCCTAACTATGGACAAGTAGTTAGAAAATGAGGAATGCAAATTATTTATATTAAAATAAAGTCAAAACTGGTACCATCACGATTCAAGGTTTGCCTATTTAAAGTATATCTTGGATTAATTAAAAAAAACAATATGCAAGACCTAACATTTCGGTTCTATTTCTAATATCTAACTTATGACTTATGAGGATGAGTGGGTAGGTCGACATGGAAATCAAAGGATAATTTTATGTATCGAAAGAGTTCAATAGTTAAAAGAATGATTGTTAATTTTAGAGGTTTCAGGTCCGAGTACGACGTTTGCAGATGTATTTAAACGTTCATTGTCAAATGGTCGAGAGATTTTTGAACTTATATTATTTTGTAATCACCCAAGAAATTGAGATTGAAGTATATGGACTGAATTTGAAATATGTGAAAAATACAAGGACTAAGATCAAAATTAGACCAAAAATGGAATGGGAGAGATTTTAAAGTTTCGTCATTTGGTTTTTGTGTTAATTTTTGTGTGTTTAATGTTAACTTAATCAAAATAATGTTCTTAAAATTTTCATAGTAATTAAAATAATAAATTAATTAATAAAATATTGAAATACTCAATTATTATTTTATGAATAAACTAAACTTTTTTTCACGACGCTAGCATAAAATTTAAAATTCTAAACTAATATATTGACTTTTTAAAAGATTGAATTTGATATTAAAATAATTCAACGACCACAACCAGTTGATCTAGTAGGATGAGATACTAAATCCCTTAAGTAAGTCAGAGTTCGAATCGTGACATTTACAAAAGGAACAAATTAAATTGGAGAGTTTTCTTGTCTCTAATACTCAATCCGAATTAATCATTCAATAGATTAGATACCGATGATTATAAAAAAATAATCCAACATCAATGTTTAGGACATAAGCACTTACAAATACAAGTATGTTTCCTAATTTGTATTTTTGAGATCTAATCCATGGCTTCACATGCTAATCATGTCGGTGGAAACTTTAGAACTATAACAATGAATTAATAAACAGGGTATTTAGCTGAATTATTATTAACCGGCACGATTTTGTAATTTTCTTACTACATTTATATTCATAGGATGGACCGAAAAATGTTGAGAAACAATCACAGTTTTAAAAATTTTAAATTCTTATGAATTTAACTTTTATTAAAAAATAATTTTAATTTTTTTTATATAACTTTTTTAAAATTTGTATTTTTGACATAAACTTGTGGTGTATCTCTATTTATAGTATCCGATGACGCTTCAGAGAATGGGTCGGAGGAATTAAAAGATGGGCACCAACTACATGGTAAGATAAAAAATTAAAAAGTGAATACTCATAAAAGCCAAGTGGGCAGAACAAGACAAGTAACGTTAACTGTGTTTCTGTCGCTTTGTGAATACTTTACAATAATAAATAATAACGTTACTTTTTAAATTAAGAAAGGAACGAATTTGAAGCTGTCGGCACATATATGCAGAACTAATACCATTTGCGGTAGGATAATTGGATTAGGGATGAGCCAATTCAAAGGATTTTGACTTGATCTGATTCGATCAGGTTGGGTTTTCTTAAAAAATAAAATCAGGTTCGGGTCGGGTTAAATTTTTTAAATGTGATGTTTGGGTCATGTCAGATTTGGGCTTAGGGTGAAAAATACCCGACTTACCTGACCCGAAAAAAATATAATTTTATCTTATACATTTATGAATAATTACAGTAATACCATCTATATATTATTTTAAATTAAATCACTGTTTTATTAAATAAAAATAATATTTTTATTATTATTTCGGGTCAGGTCAGATCGGGTTAGTCGAAACCTGACCCAAACCGACCCATACCCATCCCTAAATTGGATGAGTTACAGCCTTTAACCCTATGTACAATGTTTCACCTGTGAAATATTGGTTACATGATGGGTCAACAGGGTAATAGAATGGTCGTCCTCTTAAATTTTTTAAATTTTTATATATTTTAGATTTTTTTATTAAAAATTTATTTGTGTCATCTCTAAACTTTCATAAATTTGTCCCCTAACATAAAATTTTACGTCCATACTTAATTGAATAAATGTTTTTTATTTTCATATTGGCATAATTCAATTTAACCACAGTCTACTGCTGATGTTATTAAAAAATTAAAATATAGAAACTAAATTTCTAATATAGAAAAGTACAGGGATTGAGTTGGTAATTAAATCTTAATTACTATTAGATATGCAAAACAAAATTAAAATGCGCGTAGGGAAGCACAATAAATATTAGAAGAAAGTAAAAAATAAACAAATGTCGGTGGTTAGAAGTCAAATGATAAAATAAATATTAAACTTTTAATTTTATTACAAAATGGACATCTTTATGTAATTGTCATTAACTTGCATGACATGGTATATTAAAATTAATATCTCATTTGGCCCCTCCACTCTAACTAAAATTTTATTTTAGTATCTTATAATATTTTTACGTAATAATTTAAAAAAAGACAATTTTTAAAAGTATATGAAATTCGTAGTTTATTTTTTAACTATAAAAACATTTCATTTGTCATACACTAGTGATTAGTGAAAGTGATATTTGAGGTATAAAATCAAAACTTTGTGAAGTGAGAGCCTTGTAGTGCGATAATACCATTTGTAAATTGAATGAAAAGTGCTGAA